TAAAACAATATCCTAAGGAAAGTTGTGTTGTTTTTTTACGAGAGAGAAAAAAAAAATCATTACACTGTCTGATGTCCATGAATGGACAGGTGACAGAAGCAATGTCTCCTAAAGGAATGGAGTTGTTTGTACTTAGTTATATTTCTACTGTGAGCCAGAAATAAAATCAGAGCCCCACAGAAACAGAGAAATGTACTTTCTCCCTGGGTATCAGTSCTGCTGCAGTGAAGGGGGTACAGAAACACTCAGAGCAGGAGCAGGATGCAGCACAGCCTGGGGGGCACAGTGGGAACACTCCTGGGACTGAGATTTGTTGTGTCAGGCTTCCAGCCTGACTGGCACTTTTCCTCCAGGAGTACACAATCCAGGAGGGCTCCTTAAAGCAATTTTTAAAATTAAAAAAAATTTAATATTTTTAAAATGGAATTAAAGAAAGAAAAAGCAAGCACTTAGGAGAACTGGCAGGCAGAAGGAAGGACATAGGTTTGGTGTGGAGGAGAGGGACTGGAGAGGGCGATGGAGGAAACAAAGGGAAAAAATGACAACGTGAAAACAAGTAATGAAARGAGTGACTATAGAAACAACTGACAATGTAAAGGGGTGAAATAAAACATAATCTCTTATGCAGACATTCACGATTAGGAAAGGTTATTTCTCTTTCATTTTTATTTCCTTGGCAGAGAARGGGGAGCTGTAGGGAGGAGGAAATTAAGTGTTTGGTGCTGGTGCTGATGGAAACTTTTGTTTCAGCTGCAGCTCAGGCAGAGAAAGAATTTCCCCTGGTCAGACCCAGGTGAGGGGTTACAGAGCAGTGGTATCTGCATCCGAGGCAGAAACCCTTAAAATCTGTATTAACTTGTCAGGCATTGACTAAGGAAAGCAGTGTTAATGAGACTTCAACACACTTGCCACTGGCATGTGACATGTGTCTATAAATATTTAAGGAATGATGGGATCACTTAACCACTCTTTCTTCATTTCAGCCTCAGTTCCCATCCCAAACTGAGCTGGAAAAATTTTTATGCACTTTGGCTTGTCTCAGTTAAATTAACACCCCCACCCCTCTTTCTATACCTCCTTTCCTGTCTACTTCTTCTGAATCACTCTCCCGAGCTGTGTCCAGGCTGCTTTCAGCTCTGGCGTTGAACAGCAGCTTGTCACTAAAGGCACCCTGGCACCTACATGAAAGAGATTTTAAGGTGGAAATGACCACCCATTAAATCACCTCATCCTCCCTCCAGTCAGTGCAGGATTCTTCCTGCAGCACACTCCCCAGGGCCTGGGGTTTTAATGCTTTGTGCAACAGAAATTCCACCTCCACCCGCTTTGGGAGGAGCGCATGAGGGCTAATAGATCACACTCTTACGCAATTTTTCCTGATACAYAGCCTGCATTTTCCTTTGTTTGATGTCTTTACTCCGTTTTTCATATTTATAACTGGTGCTGGGTGAATCCCAGGTGGTTCTGAGGTTTATTTCTGTTTGAGAAGGCATCCAAAAAGGCAGAGCCCAGTCCGCATTCTTTAAACCTTTTGGTGCTTTCCTGACAGGCTCCGTTATTTCTTCCCTGAAACTGCCCAGGACACAGTAGAAAGCCCCATTTCTGTCCCAGGAGGGTAAGTTGGATTCTGGCCAATCCTCTGCTCTGGTAAATCTATCCTGAGAACAGAGACTAAAGCTCTCATCTCCTCAATGTACAATATGCTTTTTCCTAGTCATTACCCAGTAGCCTAAGTCCTCCAGTTTAATTTCCTGTACTCATCAGGCTGTTGCTGTGCTTTTTGTACTCCCTTACCTAATGGAGGAGTTTATCAATCTGTTTTTACTGGACTGGTTCCTTTGATGTCTGAGCACAAGAGATACTCCTTTGAGTATTTTTTCTTAAAAATAAAGGTATTTCTTAAGCTGTTATTCCAGTAGATATCCCATGAAATACTGCAGTAATCAAATGCTCCTGACACCGTCATTTTTACAAATACTAGTTACCAGGGCTGTAGCAAACCCCAGATCATATCTCTTTCTTCTGTAAGGATTGAAGAAGGGTTTAAATCCATTTTGCTGTCAAAATGGTCCCTGTGCTACAGTGTAACCCATTCTCTCACTCTTCCCCTTTGAAGGTTAAATAACAATAAAGAATTGTTCTGCTACATCAAGAGAAATAAGAAGTGAGAAATGTCTGCTGTAGTCTAGTAGTCTAGGCATTTAGATTATGGGAAAATGATTTTTAAATGCCTTTACCTGAGGCATTCTCTTTTTTTTTTTGCAACAGTAAATGGAGTGTACAGTGTTCTACAAACAGCATTAATGTTTTTTTCTCTTAGGAGGAAGACTGGAGTTCCACACCTCATGCAAATGCATGATGCTGGTTCTCCTCCAGTCACGCCACTACTGCTCTAACACGAGGCAAGACAGGAGGAAGAAGCACAAGCACCACTTCTCCTACGTGTTTTACATGGTTCAAGTGTGCTTTCAGCCTGTTAGACCCCCAAAAGAGGAGCTTGCTGGTTTACAGGCAGCACAGTAGTGGCTGTAGGTCTTTGAGGTGTTCATGTATGCAGCTGGGGACATTGTTCTCACACCACAGAAATACAGGTGGGAGAAAACCAGAGCTTACAGAGACCAGAGCTTCCTCTGTCCCCTGTCCTGGACAATTATAAACTCATGGTTACAATTTTTGTCATCAGCTTATTTCTGAACTATGGATACATATATCAAAAACTTTAAAGCAGGGATTTATTATCTAAATTGAATTGCAATGTCAAGAGGTAACAGACACTGATAATAAACCATTGCACTGCCAGAATAATTAACTGGGCAGAGTACTTACTTACAGAAAGGGTAATGTGATTACTTTTTTTCTGAGGCAGAGGATTAGACCATCAATCCAACTCTAAAATGACACAGGAAGACTTACCAAGAGTAGCATATATGCACAGAGAGACCCTTTTTGGCTCATACAGTCTTTACAGACTGTAAATTATGGTTATTCCTAGGAGGAAAGAAAAGAGGTTCTGTCAGTTGTACAATTACTTTTTATTGGCAGTGCTCTTTCAACTCAAGAAAACATTGGCTGAGGTTCAAGACCAAGATTTGGCTCCAATGCCACCACAATTTTTCAGAAATGTGATGAATGTTCCTCAAGAAATAGTTTCCTAAGGAAGCCACAAAAATGTGTCCAGCTAGGTTTCAGGATATCTAAAATGATATCCAAAAGCTGCTACCACTGAAGATCAATTGCCTGAAGTAATTTCRCCAAATGACATTCTTACCTGGCTGATGCTCTGTGGCAAAAGGATCCCTGACACATTTGAAATGAACAATTTCACAAACACTGATGTACATAGGTCATCACGTCCATCTCAAGCTTTTATTTTGAAGGATAAGCTATTTAAAAAAAAATTAAAAATTCAATCTAGTGAGACTAGAAGACAGTCCTGTCACTGCAAACGTAATGACGTTGGCCTGAGGGTCATTCATTGAACATAAATTCAGATCTCTCATGCCTCAATGAAAATATTCCCAAGCCTGAGTGAAACCTGCATTTTAGAAAAGCCGATGAGTTTTTTTTTTCCATTGCAGTCAGTGAAAGCAAGATGTCAAGAGTCTGTCTTCCTGCTGTCTTCTCTAAAGATGTATCCCTATGACATAGCAGGGGTAAAGAATTCTGCATTACTGATCTCAGTTCTAGAAAATTCAGAAAATCGACAAATGTTAGTAAACTAATCTTTAGCTTACCCTGACCTGAATCTTAAGTTTCTAGAAGAGACTGGAGATGTGTCAGTTTTGTTCACAAAACACCTTTAATGGTTACTGCAGTTACCTAGAATACAAAAGACTATTTATATATTTCTTTTTACRATGTTTTATAGAGAAATACTGAAAAATTGCTAGGTATTCCTGTTTGCAATAGGATGAAGATGTAACAGCATAACTATCAAGCAAAAGCAGGAGAAATTGTAATTTTTATTTGTACCACATGCATAGAACTGTAACTATGAGGCGGCAGATTTAAAATAAGCTCAATTCTAGCAAAAATGGGATATCTTCACCAATTTCAGGAAATTAACATCTTTGGACTTTTAATAAGTAGCACAAACTGGATTTTTTTTTTTTTTTTTTTTTTTTTTTGCAGTATTGAGTTAATTAAATTTAGTGACATAGTTCAAAATTTACCAGTAAAAGGCACTGCTGCTAGGATATTAGTTCAATTCTCCTCTAACTGAATGGGCCTCTCCAAATCTGTATTTTTACTCTGCTTTTTTTCTTTCCTGGGTTGTAAAAAGGTTCATAGTTAACCCAGAGAACGTTTTTTTTTTCTCCCCACCAACTCTCCAGTGAATTCTTAGTGCTCGTAGTTTTGATATGAGTGTGATCAGATACTTCTTCCTCACACTCATTTCCAGTTATTTCACATTATAAAGGCCTGGCACACTCTCAAGCACAGATCTTAAATCTGGCAACATTGCTCCAGCAGACACATGCATACAGAAAGCAGMAGGCTAGACAAAACAGGATAATGTGAAGACTGTATTTAATAACACAGGAAAGAAACAGAATCAAATTCCCCATATTTGATAAGATTGCTGCAAAGAAATAAACTTGTAGCTTAGTGAAATATATAAGTTTTGCTCCCCTGCAGGCTATAAAAGTTAATGCTTACTAGTTAAGGTTCCAATGCATTTAAATAATTTGGTTCATAATTATTTGCATTTCTGGATGACTGAGAATAAATTCAAAAGTACTCCAAGTTCATTTGGAGTTCACTGATTCAAAGCTTTMCCAGATCTTAAAATACAATAGGGGAGCTTTTCTTCCCAAAGAAAGGTTATATTGATTCCTGATTTAATCAGTTGCTAATCATCATTAAAATCAGTGGTTTWTACAGTGTCCCAGACCAAGAATTACCCTCTTGTTATAACTCTGTACCATCTGACAGTACCCTTATGTGAAACAGACCAAGGATGCAGCAAACAGATGACAAAAGACTTCAGAAACGTGTAATAACATATTCATATGTCTTTAATGGAAACATTTTGTTACAATTTAGGTTATGTGATACTCTTGCATTTTTAAAAGGTGTGAAAGAAGACGCACAGAAAAAAAGYATAAGGACACCAGTGAATGTAGATATTTTAAATGACCAACTCATAGAAGAAATAAAATACATTACACAAATAAACAAGGGTTATATCCACAGTCATGAATACGCACTCTCCTCTACACAAAAACAACAATAAATAAAATCACATTATATGCAGATAGTTCTACTTACATCAGTACAATATACTGTGCAGCTTTCCATTTGTTTTCTGCTAGACTGGCACTAGGTTTCTCTGTTGTCCAGTGTTTTTTTTCCATAAACAGTGAACAATATCACTGAAAAAAAAGGGGACAAAGTTCCTGTCCACAGAGTCTATCCTGAGTCCTGTTAGTCTTTGTTACACCCTGCACACAAGAAACACAGCAAATTCTACCCTTGCCTTCATCCTGGCACTCTGAGTTTCCTCAGCACTTTCAGATGTGCACAGTGAGGACTCCCTTTTTTTGAGAGAAGGAGAAGTCCAGATCATCCCCAAAGAGAAACCAATGCAGCTGAGCTCGTTGTGCCTGCTGCTGCTGTACAACATCAGCAAAACCTCTGTCCATAGCTGGGGGGTGGGCAGCAGAATTGTGTGTTCCCTGTGCAAACCAGTTGAGATTAGATTACAGAAGAAATCCCTAAAATAAGATTTATTTTTTTTCCTAAATATCAATTTTGGTACATTTTTGTCGCTTGCTCAAGTGTCCCCTAGAAACATTCACATGACAGAAACACCAAGGAACAGTTCACACAGAGCAGATTTAAGCCTTTCAAAGATTTTTCATCTAATGAATCCACCTAAGATTTCTGATGTAATATAGCTTAACATACAAACTGTAACAGTGTCAGGCTATTAAGAATAATTTGCCCTTGATGCAGAATATCAATTTAGTGGTTAGTGAAAGATTTTGAGGGAACTGTAAGCTTCTCCTTTTTGCTAGTTCTTCATGCTGTAAGTTCGTTCTGTGTCAGTTAGGACCTTCTAAAAGGTAAATTCTGGAAGAAGTAAAGGCATGATAAAAGTCTACATGGGTGATACACTGGACAAAATTAAACACTAGCCCAAGAAAGCCTCAAAACTGTGGCAGCCTTATATTCCTGACCAAAACCAGCAATAACCTCATAAAAACACCAACATTAACCTTTTTTCTTTCTTCCTCTGTGGGTGAGACAAAGAGAGAGCTGCATTTATGACAGACTTAAGGCTTCACTGGGGCAAACCAGAGTGCTCAGGTTTTCTGCTGCTCTTTAGAAGAGAACAGACACCATCAATGTCTGCTGCACAGCTTGCTGACCCTGTAGACAGCCAGGTCTGAGGTCTCTCACAAACAGCTATTTGTTTTAATTTCAACAATCTTTTCTCATCAGTCTCAGAGCTCAGATGTTAAAAGGTATCTGAGAATGGAAAACAATTCAGCCCTCGAGCGATCTGAATTAATTTCTGACTCTAAGCAGGGATATGCATAGTGCAAACTCTTCCATYCTTCCACGTGAAAGGTTTCACACACACACAAATCTTTTTTGTGCTTTCAACAGCAAGAAGGAAAAGTGGGGGGAGGAGAGGTGACACACACAGCATATCTGAAAGCAAAACTTTTCCCAACATGTCTTTAAATAYATATTCCAAAAAGTAACTCCTGTATTTCTTTGTTTCTTAAAAGGGCTAAAACTGACTCCAACCGAACATGCACTTTGAAATTTGACCCTTTATGGCTCTGTGAGTTACTASGGCATGTTGCTAGCCAACAGAAAAGGTAATGTACCATTAGAAACTTGTATTTCTGATCCCATTTCTGTGCCTTGCAGTGGGGAAGTTGGTTACTGGATTTGACATTGCTTTATAGCAATGACAACAGGAATAAAAAGTCCCCAACAGGAAGTTCTAGGTTAGATGTCTGATAGCTGCTGGCATGGCCAGGGACCAGCACGAGGTGTGCTGGCAGCAATGAACCAACATTACATAAAAGACAACACTCTCAGTGAAGAGGGAGCATTTCTGACTRAATCATGGAAAAGGATGTCTCTTTTCAAAGGACTTCTGAACCTAGACAAAAGGCCATGAAAAAAACCAGGGAGCTAAAGACTGTTTGCTCTACTCGGGGAGAAAATGAGAAAAAAAACCCTTAACTGCTCTACTGAAAGAACCAGAATGGCTACACAGCCACACTGTGAAGCACAGAGGAGGGCAGTGAAGGATGTGGAACTGTCTTGAGCTCCGGAAAAGGTGGACTGAATTGCCAAAGAAATTTATGACCAGGACTATTAGCTTCCTGTCTTTGATGTCTATTCTTGGCTTTCCAGGAGCATTATGGCATTCATGAGGTGAAAACATCGCTGGAGCCAAGGTCAGCTAAGGCTGATGCAGCCTGTTCTGCAGCAACGCTGAGAAACTCGCTCTGAGCTGCTTCAAGCCTGAAGACACCACTCAGGGCCTGGGTTTACTTCCACTGAATCTGTAAGAGGGTTTTTTTTTGTCAGCTTAGTGAGAGTGTGATTGCACTTCTAAGCCAAAAAATGAATCAGAGATCAGCCTCCCAGTAAAACATGTTGTCAGRGAGAACACTCTTATTTTGTCCAGTACAAATGTTTTCAAAGCATTAGCTACATCTTAATTACTCTAAAAAAACCARAAATACAAAATACTTCCAATAAAGCAATAACATACTGCTTAAGGACCARCTGAACATAGATGAACACAATTTATTTTCAGAAATGAATTAATGTGATTCTTTAATAAACTGAATTCTGGCCACAATCTTGCAAAGTACAGACCACTCTAAATGACAAGTTTTAACAAACTGAATGTTTTTCGAGCTCAGCTGGGTGTGGTTTTCAAGCACATCAGGGCAGGAACTGGTAATTAACTGGTGATGGTGGCAGTCACAAACAACTCAGGACACACAAACTGTCCATAAACAAAACTGCCAGAACTAACAGTGGCCCAGGACAAAGCACCTAGACATCTGACCCTGACACTGTGGGTTTCAGGACACTAAATCACAGATACTACTGAAAGTTCTGCTTCATTTTTGTCCCTTGCAATGGAAACCTAGCTGCTCAAGTTACAATGGCAAAAAGGCAGGAAAATGGTCCACAGAACTGCAAGGAAGAGGATTCTGAGGTGAATCAGCTGTTAAGCTGACCACTGTTTAATAATTTTAAAAAAATAYTTAATGAGCAGAACTTGAAAAAGTTTGAAAACATCAGTATGAAGCCACTAGCTCTCAATTTAAGAGGCACAACTGTGAGAATTAACATGGCCTAAAGGGCCAGCCTTTCTTAAATTCAAATTTCCCTTTGGTTCTCGCACAGCCAGGATCATACCCTTTAGTCCCAAGTGAGCAAAGCACTTAGAAGCTGAAGTTGAGCATATTTTAAGTGTGTTCTGAAGTGCTGAGCTGAGTCAAGGGTCTCCTTGTGCTGCTCTGTAGTACAGATGTATGTTTGTAATACGGGCAATTTGTTGAAGCCAAAAATGTAGGTTTTGAAACCTCTTTTGAGAATCAATTATTATTATTTTGATTARACATTCCCTTACAGAGTTCGGAGCCTAAACATTGTGGCATTGAGCTAATGCAGATGAACCAGAAAGGAAAAGTGCATCAGCCAGTAAAGAATCCCTCTGCTGAATAATCTAAACTCAGGGCAGCCTCTGATCTATAGTCTGTGAAAGATTTGGGAACTATTAGCAAGAGGCCTGTGAAAGGCAGCTAAGAAGAGCGAGTTTATTTATGCTGTGAAGGAATCTACTYATGTGAAATGTCTTAAAGGATCTCCACACTTCCATGGGAAAAATTCATATGTTTGTGTGCTTCAATCTGCCAACATTAAAACACACTGATCTGAAATGCTCTAAGGGGCAAAAAAAGGTTCACCTTTCTCGGGAGGTGCTGGGATGCAGAGTTTTGGCAAAGCCTCTGTCAGCATCCCACCAACAGACATCTCACAGAAACACTTCCTGAGGTTGTGATTTAAACACCCTACATAAAACCAAGGATCTGAATTACAATTTTTCTAATTAAAAAGTGACATTTCACTATTCTTTTTTTTAAATAGCTTTTTTATTTTTTTTTTAGTCACAACAAAAATAATTTCAAAAAAAGTTTATGCTTCAAATCATGTCCTCTTTTCTCTACACATTAAAAAATTGTCTTGCCTTTTTTTTTCTGTGGCAAGGCAGACAAATGGGTAAAAGAAAGTCAAGATTCTCGTAGGCCTTTTTACCAAACCAGAAGCAGATCAAAAGCACTTTGGAAAATAGCTAAAAAACCCACCAAACCTTAAGTAAGCCCAGGGCCTAGACAAACTCARCTGCTTGGGGGAAAAGAAAAACATCCAGAAACTGACCAGGAAGACTTTTTTCCTCCCCAAGTCCATAGCTGTTGGAATGCTGCTCTAGCCTACTTCTGGTGCCCATGAAATAAAGGGAATACCACTCTGCTCTGGTGCCCATGAAATAAGGAGAACACTTCAGAAAACTGCCCACTGCTTTGGCTAAAGCACCTTTGGATAAGTCACACAGGCTCAGACTGGGAAAGGGGATGATGGAAATCAATTTCCTGTACAGGAGGCTTTACCCTCTGGCTGCCTGGGACATAGGACAGTATTTCCCAAGGGCAGGTGAACCCTCTATATGCTAAGAAAGAAGTGAAATATGAGGGGAAAAAAAATGTCCAACAACAAACAAAAGGGAGCAGAAAGYGGACATAAACAGTTTTTGCTCTTCTTTCACTTCAGGTAACCCAAAGTGRTTTCTCAGAATTGGCACTCTGGCTTTTCAAAGCCTAGAAGTTTTGTAGAAATTAGGCTTCAGAGCCAGTTTTGAGATTACTTTCAAGTCTGGCTACAACTGCTGAGACCAGAAAGTTCTGCTTATGAAATCAGAATAGAATAAACCAAAATATTTCATGCACTCTTAGAACCACAGTCATAGCTCTGTTTACCCACTGACAATATTTTTATGAGTCTTCTTCACCACATTTACAGTAAGTACTGTTCATTTCCATTTGTTGACTAGAAAGTGCAAAGCTCTCCTTTGTCTAGTGTAAAATAACCTGTCAGTAGCTAATTCATCACAGATGCAGTTTTGCTCCTGGTMAAATAAATGGCAAAAGTTCCAGGGACACTGATGGCAGCAGGATTAAAGTCAGCCCTAGAATTGTGTTTTAACACAGGATTCCTGAAGGTAGCTCCTTGGGTGTTTAATTGTACACACATGGATAGTTAAATCTCACCATCATCTGGAGGACATTTTAACATTTGAAAAATGTATTATTTACAGCATCAGGGCGATCATCACACAGACAATTCAATAACTGCATTTTTGTTGTTTAAGTAACCATTTGAATGTTGCACATGCCTGAAGAAAAAAGTGGGGCAAAACATCTGTTACCATGCACAGCCATTTCTCCTCCCCTAACCACTGGTTCTTCAATGTATTTACAGCTGTTGACTTTCCCTGCATATTACTCCTATCATAAAAAATATGTCTTCAAAACATCCTCTTCCTTAATTTTTAATCCTACCAAAGCAAAAATAGATATTTTAATAGAAAAATACAAGATTAAAAATATCCTAAAAAATAAAATGGTAGCATGGAATGTCATTTTTACACCAAAAAAAAAATCCCCTTTTGAATTGCATCAGCTATACAAACACTTTCATATTTACAGTTTTGGATGCAGTCCTGTGCTCACTGAAGTTAATGGGTTTTTGCCATTGACTTCACTGGGAACAGGAGCAAGCCTGCCATGGGTTATATTTGCCCCTCTAGAAAGTCATGGCAATGGCTAGAAAAGAGTCTGACAAAACATATCAGACTGAGGAATTAACCAGTCTTCCCCAGAGACTTGATTGTCTTCTCTGTCACTGTTTCACGCCTGTGAAACTCCTCAYCCTTCCCTGGAGTTTTTCCTAAATCCCACCACCCAAGAGGGAGAAACAGTGCTTTTGACTGTGACACCACACAAACCAGGGAAGAATGGTTTGTGTGTTCCCACCTGCCTGACTTTCTCAGTGGAGCTAATTACAACCAAGTGCCAGTTCCCTCCCAGAACTAAGGCCCGTACACTGAATTTCATATCCCCTGTTATCAATGGCAGTGATTCAGCGATGCAGGATCACACCCCAAATCAATCCCTTTTTTCCTTTTGGCAGCAACCAGCACCTGTGCTTCTGAAACCATATTTGATACCCAAGGGTGAGATGCAAATACGGAAGGAGGTGGTAGAAGCTAAAAAGAAAAAAAAAAGGATCAGAATGAGGCATCCCCCATCAACTAAACTCATATCTGCTAGCCTTAATATATKCCTTAAGACATACTGTTTTACATATTAAGTACATCCAGTAACAGCAAACTGCATAATTTTCTTTTTTCATGAGATGAAAGGCCATGYGGCATAATGTGATTAGTAAATCATTCCTGAGCTTCTGAAACAAATTAAGACAAAATTACTGCTTAAAGGAGTGAGTTCTTCAAGCGCCTCTTCTTTTTACACTGATGTCTTTGGTTGTGTCCTTTTCTCTAATTCTCTTTTTTTCCCTAGGAAGAATGGGATTCTTCTTCYTCTTTATGCAGCAGAAAAATGGGATCTAATGGAGTCTTCACGTAACTGCCGATGTTTCCCCATGTTACAGTCCTCCTGTCGAGTTCTTCTCTCAATGGTTATTCTGTATTTCTTTCTGCATGAAAGGAGAGGAACAGAGTGAGAAATCCTTCACCAGCTATGGGCTAACAGACTTCCTTATGAAGAATGCCTGTAGGGGACAGCTGGGTGCCATTTGAAAAATGAAACGTGGCCGAATGTGAAACCCTGGTCAAAGATAAAAGTAGTTGGCCTCAGAACATTTCACCCGGGCTGAAGAATGCCTGTTAATTTCTACATGGCAGTCTCAAAGCCCTAGGACACAGATATTTGCTTCTTTGAAAATTTCTGATCTAAGTGATTAGGAGTTTTTGTGAAGTGTCATGTGAACTGTGTCACATCACTGCTTTATATTGATCAAAGCCAAATTTCTTTTCAGTGTGCTAGGGGTGGGGGGCAGGGGGAACTTTCTGGAGAGTTCAAACAACAGCTATGACTATTCAGCTTCATTTCTCACTGAAACTATGTATGAACTAATTAATCTTCCCATTTTCCTCTGAGAAAGCTACTATGTTTGTAATGTCAGAGGAGGTAATATGATGAATTAAGAAGAGGGATGTGGAGGACAGATAAGAAATAAACACAAATGCTCATGCATCAGACACAGCACTTCCTGCGTGTCTTCTTCTAGGGCCTTTTGAAGAATTCTGCTGTGTTACTTTGTAAATCAAACAAACCCTCTGCCTTTCAGCTTCCCTTTAGTGCCCAAATCTCCCCCGAAAATGATCAGATGAGATTCATATTTATGCTTTATGCATTTATGCTTCCACTGAGTTTCAGGACAAATTTTTCAGAAGGGCATTAGTCCAGCACCATGTGCTTGCACTGCTGGTRGAGATGCATGGCAAAAACCTTGTAAACCCAGGAAACCTCTGCTCCCCCAGCACACACAGCAGGAGTCAGARCAAGGTGTGCAGCAGTGGAAGAAAGATTTTCCCAACATCAAGGTTTTGATTCAGGCAGCATGGCTGAATAGAAAGTGGCAACCTAAAAGTTCTGAAAATAYTCCCTAGGTACTTGTGTCTGTATCAGAAGGCTCCAAAATAACTTGAAAAACCTGTGCTGTGGGTCGGAGCGTGCACAGCAGTAACTCTTGCACAAGGACAGCTCCAGATTTTAGATACACAGGTGTTGAAGTTAAAATCCTGTCAAAGCCACAGATCAGAACTATTGCCCAGATCTTATAACTGTTTGTGTTCCCCATTTAAAATGGTATTTGCATAGTCATTTGTGCCAATGACAGATCCAAATGAAATGGAATGAGAAGGAACATTTACAGCTTAAAAGGTGCAGAAAGTGCAAGTACAAATTACTTCCAGACACACAGTCGCTAAACATACATTTTCTGAAAACCTGACCCATGAATCTTAATTTGTTAGGTTTCAGGTGTTTATTCTGATGGTGGAACAAGAAGGTTGTCCCTACTCCTGCTTTGAGCAACTGCAATCAGATCTGCAGAGTGAAATTCACACACGTCTTTAGACATCTCCAACATGCAGATCCATCTGACAGCACCTGGAGCTTCCTTTCAGTAAAAAGAGAAACAGGCACTTCTAAGAGACCTGATTTAGCTTTTACATGAAGATGACATGCACTGCACAGAAGAGAAGTGCTCATTTACCCCTCTGACCATACATAAGACCAGTGTTAAGCTCAAGTTTTTTACTTTTACAGACACCCATCTTTGCTCACATGGATTTACAATCCAAATCTTTGAGTCAGAGGACCAGTTTAAGTTCTGTTCTTACTTAAAGATACTTTGCATGGCTTTATATCCAGCCCGGGCATTTGTTGTTTTATTTCTTGTCCTTACACACAATTCCCTTCCAGTATCAGCAATGCTAAAACCCAGACCTAGCAACTGTCATCCCTGGTTTAGAATCTATGTAAGATGCAAGAACCTCTGATGACATAAAAAATAGACAGATTTTTATTTTCCTTTCCTTTGAAAGGTATTTTTTAATCAGTCCAAGCCAGCGTAATGTTATCTGAAAACCAAAACATACTGTATAAGCACTGAACACACGCAAGAATAAAATCACCCTGCAGAATTTCAGTTGTAAGCACATGATGAATAACCCTGGTGTTTTGGAAACCTGAAAGTGTCCTGTTGAATTGAAGCAGGTTTTGCTTGTTTTTTTGCTAACATTTTTTATAGGAAGTTATTTTTTGATAGAATTATTTGATTCTTGTACGGGCAGGTTAATTCTATTCTATCTGACATTTCCATAGCAGGAAGATAAATTACTGTATACATAAGGTGCTGAACATGTATAGCTAATTTATTCCATAAGTACATAATCAATTATCAAGACTTTACATTTGCTGACTAGCAGGGTAAGAATTATTTTACTTAAACAAGAATAAAACACTGATCATCCTGCACTGACCTCAGCTTATTAAGTCAAATGCAAGGCTTTGGAATCCAAAAGCTGTCTTACACCAAAACAGAAATCTCTTTCTGTTCTCCAGCACAATTCCATTCAATACCAGGCAAATGATATAAATCTCTTGCAGATCACAGCCTGCACAACTGTGCTGGCAAGGAGCACCAAACAAAGGCGGCTTTCAAGGCCAGCACATTTTACTAAAGCAACTGTGAATGTCTGGAACACACTGGAAATACTTCTATGAGTAACATTACTCAGAGATGTAAGAAGTCACAGGACGAAGACCCAAGTCAATAAAATTATTTGGATAAATACAAAAGGACAATTGAAGTGTGTTCACTCTCTCTGGTGAAAACATTATTATGGTGCCTCTCTGTCTCCCATCAAGGGTGTTCTGCCAGGAGCTGAGAAGTTTGGATGATGAATAAGAAGTTTACAGAAGTTTCAATGAATTGGACTAACCTGAAGAAGTAAAAAGCCATTAGCAATGCTGCTCCAAGCAGGGCGCCCACAACTATTCCTGTAACTGCTGATTCTCCGAGACCACCTGCTTGAAAAGGGGAAAAATAAACCATCAGGGTTTATATTGAGAACTATTTGCATTCATGTATTGGAAAATACACACAACTAGGAAACTAGTGACCCAAGATCAGATAATAACCAAAGCCTTTCAGAGCCCAGGACTCCATTGGAACCTGTTACAGTGTCTGCATGTTTATTTTTTGTCTTTGCTTTCCTTGGGTTTGAAAAAGCCACCAAAGCCAGTGTCAGATGAAGGCACAATTCTGGAGATGTGACAGAAGTTAGAAAACTGGCCTGRACAGCTTGGTCTGAATCATAACACAGAGTAGGATTACAGTGATGCACGTAATGGGAATCAGCCCTGAATATCCCTTGAGTCCCTYTAGCAGAAACAAACTCATTTCACCTGGGTTAGCATCACAGCCCTCTATCACCCAGGTTTATTAAAACGACTGTGATTATCTAATGGTTCCTCAATATTTTCTTTTTTTATTTCCTTAAAATATGTTATTTCAGATTAAAGCTATAGGACTTTCAGCTTGCTTCAAATCTCAACAGAGGCAGAACAGGGACACAGTGGTTGAAGAGRAGCCCGAGCTGGATTGTCTCTGGGAGGTACAGAAGAATGGCATTTTCCTGTGCATGTAGTCTGCTCCCATTTCCATTCCCACCTGGGTTTGTGGGAAGGAACAGAGAAAGAAATTAAACTGCTCCATTCTCTTCTCTCATCCTTGACCCTTTGAGGGGTTTCTGTGTGTACAGAAGGAAGAAGGTGCTTAGCTACACCACGCTGACCATAGACCAGTGTACACACCAGTTTTTCAAGGATTGAAGACTTACCAGTCTTYACACAGCAAGACCAGCAATTTGTTTCTTGTGAGAAGTTAAACCCACCCTCTGCCGCTGAGGCACCAGTATCCTCCCACCCCAATCTCCTTGCAATGTCCTTCTCACTACAACATGGGCTGCAAAGTCACTGAGCTGGAAAGAATGGACACCTGCTCTGTGGAGGGTAGTCCCAGCCTTTTGAATTCACAGATGTCACCCCATTCAACTGACTCCAGTCCTCCTCAGCCTTCTGGCCCCCTCACAGTGCCTTTTCATGACACTGAAAATCCTTCTGCACTGCTCCCACCAGCACAGCTGCTAATTATCAGTGTGATTATTCTCTGCTGGGGTTTCAGTTACATCCCTCTTTCTGGCTAAAAGGTCTCTGCAAAGTCCTAAAGCCTCCAGGGTACTGGCCTGTGCATGATTACTGTCAAGTTTAAGTTCAGGGAAGTGATTCAGACCATGTACTACCCACGGCTGCCAGAGACCATAACCTCCCAAGCAGCTGAGAGAGAGAGAGACAGTCACCATGTCTCAGTTGGACAATGTGCTAAACAATTTAATATGGCCCGTTATGTTGCATCAACACATGGATTCTTCCCTCTGGAGCTGGGGCACAAGCATTAAGTCACTAAACTTACATGATTTACACGGTGTGTTGTTTGTGTGCTCTGAAACTCGGCTTTCATCTAGTCGCAGCCTGCCGTGGTTCCACGGATATTTCACATTGGATCGAAATTCAAATCGCCCCTGCTTCCCATAGTAGTCCCCGATCACCTATGCAAAACAAGAAAGGAATGAAAAGACTGTCCTGTTAACTTAGAGAAGTCAAACAGAAAGGAGAGCAGCATCACTCAGTCTTCTCCTGTAGCACGATGCTGAATTTCTGAGGAGAGGGCAGAAGGGGTCTGTGGGAGGTTATGCAGTGCATGCCCTGCCCCAGGGGTGAACAAAAGCATTCCTGGCAGATGTTTATCTAATCTGCTCATAAAAGCCTTCAAAGATGGAGACTTGACAATCTCTGTAGCAATTATTCTGGAACTTAGCTAGCCTTACTGTCAGTTGTTTTCCCTAGCATGTAACCTAAAATTCTTCTTTTGTAATTATCCGCCACTTGTAACAGAATTGCCAGTAGTCATGGAAATTCTTCCTTTCTGAAATATTGCTTTACATATTCACAGGCTCTTATATGATTCTGCCCTCAGGCTTCTGTTCTATATAAATCCAGTTTACACAAGCTTTTTAACCTTCTGAGTATTCCCCCTGCTCTCTCTGGGTTTTTTTTTCAATTGCTCCACAATGAGTTGAGTGCTCAGGACTGTCACCCAGCTAAGTGAAAGCATCAGTGAGTGACTCCAGCATCAGGGGACATGAGCCCAGAATGTGCATGAACAGACCGAGAGCAGCCCTGCCCAGAAGGACTCRGGGGTGCTGGGGGTGAGAGGCTGGACATGCCCCGGCCATGGCACTCACAGCCCAGAGAGCCAAACGTGTCCTGGGCTGCACCCAGAGCACCGTGGGCAGCAGGGGAGGGAGGGGATTCTGCCCCTCTGCTCCRCTCTGCTGAGACCCACCTGGAGCATCCAGCCCTGGGGACCCTGCACAGGAGGGACAGGGACCTGCTGGAGCCARTCCAGAGGAGGGACACCACAATGATCAGAGGGATGGAGGATCTCTGCTATGGAGACAGGCTGAGATAGTGGGGTTGCTCAGCCTCAAAAAGAGAAGGCTCTGGGAAGACCTCATTGCAGCCTTTCAGTACTTCAAGAGAGCTTATAAAATCGAGGGAGAACAACTTTATCATGGGCAGGTAGTGATAGGATAAAGGGAAACAGATTTAAATTAACAGAGGAGAGCTGTAGATTAGATGGTAGGCAGAAATTCTTTGYTCTGAGGGTGGTAAGGCACAGGTTCTAGAGAGAAGCTCTGGGTGCAGCTTCAACATCCTCRGAAGTGTTCAAGGCCAGGTTGGATGGAGCTCAGCTCAGTCTGGTCCAGTGAAAGGTGTCCCTGTCCATGGCAGAGGAGTTGGAATTGGATGATCTTAAAGGCCTCTCCCAACATAAGCCATTCTGTGGTTCCAGGAATTCAAGCACTTTGAGTGCTGAGATTCTCAACTACACACTCCAGGCTCGAGTTTTCTGTTTGGCAGAATTTGGAGGACTTGATTATAKTCAGTTAAAACATTCAAATCTTGTATTCCTGTAGTTGTTGATTTTGACACAATAGATTATTCTGGTGTTATGGCAGTATTTTTTCATACTACCATACTATAGACACACACACACAGAATGAACTAGGCTGGAAGAGACATTCAAGATCACCAAGACCAGACCATTCACAAAGACACTTYAGAATTTCAGTCCTGTCTTCAACAGTTTCAGGCTTTATTCACGGTGACATGCTGAATGTACTTCAGAGTTGTAGGACTACTCTGTGCTAACAGTAGTAGGTCACTCATCTGAGAACAGTTCTAAAAATATTTATGTGAAGAAGCAGGACCACATACTGTGACACTGCCATGGTCTGAAGCAATGGCAGAAACAGAGCAATAAAGGTATTTGTCCCACCATGGTTGAAAAGCAGAAATTAATACACTAGGTTTAGAATTGAAGGCACAGATAGCCTGCTCAAATCTTTCACCTAAATTTCATTTTGAAGCTAGTGAGTTTAAAGAACATCTGATCTGGTTAGATACACAAATGGGRATTTTACAGTAAATAAAGAAACTCCTTTCTCTTGCAGTTGCAACTGGGAAATAAATCCTTTGAAAAATGAGTGTTTTCAACATTTGTTCAAAAATAAAGGCTATATCAGTAAACTGGAAAAATTGAGACCATTCACACGCAGCAGATCATTTACTAAGAGACTGTCTAACTTATCAAACAGGAGTGGGAGAGTCCTCTACCAGCAAGAAAGTATGCAGAATAGTTTAAGTACAAAAAGCTGTAAGCAGCAGCCAGGTGGATTCAGATCAGAAGCTGGAGATATATTTTTGAGGAGCAGGAATGGTTCATCTGTGGAACAAACACTGAGAGTACCCTATTCTATCAGTCTCCAAACCAAAAATKAATGCCTGCTACAGGATGAACTTCAATAGTGTAAACTACAGGCTCCACACAAGGTTAAGAAACCTGCCTGTGTCTAACACAGCAGAGGTCAAACTAGAAAATCTAGGTTTTCTTCTAGCTTTAAACTCTATGAATAGACCTGGGAAAACAGCTCTGCCCAAACACACATCCATTTGGCACAGTTCAGCTGAGAAACATYCTCATACAGACACGGAAAAAATTGTCCAGATGAGTAAAACAACTTATCAAAGAAACAATGTTTTCAGAGTGAGGCAGGAGGGTAGAGATTAGGGAGCAGACAAAACTGGCCAGTAATTGCATGTAAAATGGTAACTGTATTTATATTCATATACATAATAAAGCAAAGGGAAGTTGCACAATAAGTTGAAAGAATAAGTGTAACCTTTTGTAAAAAAATGTAGTTTAAATTGCAAATGAAAGAGCAATGAAAGGATGGGCAAGAGAGGGATGAAAGGATGGGCAAGAGAGGGAGATTAAATTGATAAATGAAATAAAAATCTATTGGGCTGACAAACAGAAGAAACATGTTTTCATACCAAAGTTATCCCAAACATTCTGTATTCCTGCTGCCCCTGGGAGTGTCTGCACTTTACTGCTGTAGGTTTTCCATCACGTTGCACGCTAAAACATACTAGACATTCTCACACTTTTGAGTTTGTCTTGAATTTGTCTCTGCTGCAGTACCAACAAGAACAATGTAACTTCACTGGATTCAACTCCACAGGTAGAAATATCCAGCCAAGACACTGCTGCTTTATGTTTGAGCTTGTTGAAATCGGGGAGACCAGCAAAGCTGAGGCTGATGCTGATTTTGCAACTAACGAAAGTGTTACACTGCAGCTGGACTTAGGGTAATGCATGCATTTACAAACTCAGCCCAGACATGCTATTCTCTGTGTGCASCTGGTGCCGTTTCTCAGATGCTTCCACAGTTCAGCTCTCCACTCTTTCAGCACCCAGGGGAATAACCTATCTGGTGTATATGGATCCATCTGGTGAAAATGGTTCTTAGACACTGACAACAAGGCCCTCAGTCTTGCTGCCTCACAAACAAGGCCAGGTAAAGCCTGGCCAGGCACTCCTGCTTGTGACTGACCACAGTGTAAGATTTAAACACCTGTATGTGCTGTGTTAATACATCAGGATAACTTGTGCATCACTGTTGCTGTAATATTTATCTGTCTTCCCAACAATGAATAAAAGGCCTTGCTCTGTTCACGCAATGATTTCTCATATTCAAAACTGTCAATGCTTAGCTGGCTTGTGAGAATTCACCCTTTAGTTAAAAACTAGCATAATGTGAAGAAAGCTGTATTGTAAAAGAAACAAAGAAAGTTTAAAACCTTAGCCTAACTACYTCGAGGTAGCTACTTTACAGAAAGGATTTGGTCTTAATAAGATTAAGCCAGCAAGTAAAGAGATGATATCACATTACTTTACACTGAATTACTAATTCATCAGTRGCCAATTGCAATGGTGTTTGTTTCCTTACCTCCTGTGTGCCCGCCTCCGGGTCTGTCATTCCAATCACAGAGAAATCCCCGTATCTGTCTCCATTGGCATCAATGGACACCTGCCCTGCAATGCCTAAGGAATGGCATGTGAGGAATCAGAAAATTAATTAGTTAAAATACTCAGCCTTTCCAAGCAAAACATGAAAACAGTGGACAGGTTTTTACAGACCGATATGACAGGAAATCTCATCAGTCTCCCAGCATTTTTGTTGGCATTCCAGAAGAAATTGTAATTTCATCTCAGTGTCTGCATTCCTGAATTCTTAACATTTCTACTTTTTAAATATCAAATGTGTGAGACTGGCGAATACGTGAGAAAGATCTATTCCAAAAACCAGCATTTAAGAAYAAAACAAATATATAATCACATATAATGTGAATTATTTATGGAGAGCCTAATCCCAAAATATCTGATGATGCCTCAATAAAGAAAGTCCAACTTGTACTACAGAGGACACAGGGGCACAGACCTACATCCCAGAGGCTGAAGGGGCTGCTGCATGCATACTCAGTCCAGTGTTGTTTCCATCTAATGGGATACTGGAGATGGCATGAACAAGGGGAGCCATGTGCACTAGATATGCTTTAAGCCCTGCATTCAACTGCATAAGGTCAACTACATAATACAGTGCAGTTTGGTTTATATTCTTAGACCCCCATTTCACWTCTTTTGTTTCACTTCAATAGTTTTACTGTTTCTAGAAAACKTCAGGCAAACTGGAAATCATAGATTCAGGAGACATCTCAAGTTTGAAAAGGCTTCAGGAGATCCAACCTCCAGCTCAGAGCACAGTCAGCCAGGAGGATGCTCCATGTTTTATCTGCTCTGCAAAACCTCCAAGGATGGAAACTGCACAACCTCACTGGGGCAAACTGTTTGATCTGGTATGGGAAATAAACACATCTTAGGATTTAATCTGAACCTCTTTTTTAAATGTACGTCCTATGTGTAAAAAGTATGGCTTCAAATTCTTGACGTGTACATCAAACAGGTTCTTTAAAATCCATCAAACAATACCAATTAACTATGATGTCTTAAGACTGCTGATGTACTTTATCACCTCAGATATTCCAGACTGCRACCCTCCACTGCCTGCCACCAAACACAGCCAAACTTGCCCCTTGCAAGGCAAACAGGGGTCAGTGTACATCCATGTCACACAAGTGCATGCCTAGACCAGGCACAAAGCTATGGAGATTCAGGTCAGATACTCAGAGTATAAATTTCCCCCAACATGCCTAATGACAGCAAGCATGCAACACACTAACACGCCTCCATTTATTCTGTATCTGCTCAGATTTAGTGGTTCAGCTTGCTGTGGTTTTCAAAATATGTAGTGGTAATCAAAGATTATTGTCAAGCATCTATTTCATTATAACAACACAGTAATCAAGCAATTGTCAATTCAAGTACTGCAGGGGAATCGAATGGGTGTAACAACCTGAGACACTGAAAGAAGAGGCCACTCCAAAGAACTGTGATGTCCCAGCTTACACTAGAATTTGGATTCTGGTTCTGGCAGGAGATGCTAATTGGAAGACACACCCTTGTGACCTAAGAAGACCAAAACTCAGTTTCTGAAAGTAGGTGATGAAATTGAAACTTGAAATTACTATGGATTTTTTTTTTCAGTGGGAAAGACTAWTTTTTTATTTGAATAAAAACCGGGAGTTTAAAATATTCACATTTTCTGCAATTTCCTTAAGAAATTGAGGTAGGAAATTTTGAAACCACCTTAATGAGGAACTGCATTTGCATGAAAGCTGAATGATTTTATCKGTACTTTCTTTCAGTCCTTTTATGTGAGATATCTACATACAAAAAATTCTGCCTTTTTTTTCAGAGGAAACGCCAATGAATAGCAAATATTCTCCACAAAATGTTAAACCACGTTGTCTTTAACAACCCAATCAATAAGAAATCCTTTGATCACCACAGCCTTACAATGTCTATCCTAAGCCCATAATGTCTGTGCAGATGTGGCTGGCAGATACAGAATTCTGCAGGAAGCAACATCCAACAAAGTGCCAAGGCAATCAGATATCTACATGTCAGGAGTTAAATTAATGTCCTTAATGAAACTGGAGTTGTCATTATAAGGCCTGCAAAAGTTGAAGGGAATTACAAAGCTTCAGTTCTGCAGCAGAAGCTGATGTGCGTGTGCATGAACCGTGCTCTGTGATGCTGCATCCTCTGCTGAGAGGGGCTCACAGGCAGAATAAAGGGAATGATCTTCCTTAAGGAAACAGCTTGCAAGACATTGAGTTAAAGGCCTCTTTCAAAATTAGTTCTATGTCCAGAAAAGTGCTGTCACAGGGAGGAAAGGGCATATGACTTAAAAGCATTTTGACCTTTTCAATTGCACGGTCACAACCCAATTTCAGCTACATTTTCAGAACAGGTGGAACAGGTCAGCCACCAGCAACAATCTGGTTTTCTCAAGTGGGGAAAGAAATTTTTTTTTTCCTCCTGCCAAGATTTTGCAAGCAAGGTGTGAGAATCAACCAGGTAACCCACGTGGGCACACAACACTACAAAGGATGCAGAGGCACACCAGCTGGTGGTTTCCCGGAGCACAGGGACAGCAAACACACAGGCTGTGCTGGGGCATGTGTTCATGCACAGTAAAACCAGAGAGGCAAATCCTTAAATACCAGATTCCCTCCCTTAAAACAGAGTGTTTTGGGAAGCCATGGATGTGAAGGGAGGTAGTGGGATGCCAAGCACAACCTCCAGCTGATGCAGGACTGCTTATGGGATGACTGCAACCAGCATCATTTAAAGCAACCCATGTATTCCCTTAAGCTGCCCTGAGTATTCTTCCGCCTCGTGTTCACACCACAATTTGAGAACAGAAAACTGGTTTGGAGCTGCTGCTCCTCCTACACCATGTCCAATGTGTTCTTGGAGCTGAGAACCTGGCCACTTAGGTTTTTCTTCCACAGTCAAATGAATCATTCCCTTTTTATCTAGGGGAAATGTTTCCTTCTCTCAGGAATTTCCACAGGAAATCTTGCCAGTCCTACACCAAATGACTGGACTACTTATAATAAATGGATGTAAACATTTTAAGAGATGAAACCAATAATCCTCAGTTTCCTTATTACAATTCTTACCTGACAAAAGTATCWGCATTGCTTTTTATCAGCAAGGTGGCATGCAAATGCCAGTTGCAGAAAGGCACAGAGCTGTTCATCTGCTGCCTCCAAGACAACACACACAGCCCCTGAAAGAGGCTGGGGGAAATCCTTCTAAGGCCCAAAGGAATCCCGTTGAGAAACACAAAATAATCCCAACCCTGGCACCTGCTTGCTTCCATCCATTCCCAGGCTTTCGAGATAAAAAAGTGAAATGGAAAAAATGAAGCAATCTCAGAGCTAATAGATGAACGTGAGCAAACTGAGCAGCTGTAATCTTTTCAAAAACAAAGAAGGAGCCTGAGAAAATTATTGGTATTTCTTTACAACATCAGTGAAGGTCGTTAAATTGTTAGAATTTTTTCAACTGAGTTAAGACCTCAACAGTTGGTGCAAAAAAAGTCAGACTGGTGAGGTATGTGAGCCAGCCTTGAAGATGTCTGTATTTTCATACAATTACTTTCCTCTCACTTAGGAATGGAATAGGCATGGGTCCTTACTTCGCACAGAACAAAGACCTGAGTTTTTTTTACTCTGGAAGCTGGAATTCCATATTAATTCTTACCTTCGTATGTTCTGTTCCGTGTTTGCTGAACAATTTTTTCCCCATCTTTCTTACTGAAACCAATCTTCAGGACTTCCTGCAAAGCTAGAGCATAAAGAAGAATAGCATCATGGAATCCCTCCACAAACATGTTCACCTAAAAAAGAAAGAAGAAAATAAAGATAATGGCAATTGACACATAATAAAACTTTTCTTTCCTAGGGAATTAACTAGAGAGAATCTACAAATTAACCGAAGTGACTGATTTGGAGAATTACTTTCTCAGACACCAGAACACAAAGGAATATATCTCAAAAAACCCTTGGCAGGACAACGGCAACTTYTGACACACTTTTAAAAACAATTAACCACTATCTGCTATTCTGGACATTCAAATCACACTTTAATGTTGTGTCTGAACAGCTCTGCAGATAGGGGAGAAATCTGCAGATTCCAGTTCCCATGCCCAGATGCACAAATTCTGCACTTGACCACGTGAGATTCTGTAAGGTGCTGAGCACCCTCATCCCACAGCAGYAAGTACAAGCCCCTCCCTCTGCACAGGGGACTTAGCACCTCTCAGGACTGGGAAGTATGTTCCATCATGGGTTTTTTTTGGAGACCACAACTGGTGGATTTGCTTGTTTAATGATTACCACTTCCATTTCTGGCCCTTGTTTGGCCAAGCAGCTCTCCACAAGCAAATGAGCAATGGAGAAAAGCACTGACCCTTTCCAGTACTGTGTTTTCTGGAACTGCCACGAGAACCTTTTCCTGTCTCTTATAGTTTTCTCAGTAAGTGACAAGAAATGAATGAAATGTTGCTATATAACCCTAACACAAAAGAAGATTACTGCCAATGAACCTTCCTAGGCAACCTAAGAATTTTGGTCTGTGAGTTACAATAACAGTCAAAAGCTCAGTGCTGCAGAAAATCACAGGTTCGCTCAAAGAAGTCTCATGTGCTTCAGTGATRAAGGGATTATGATTTCAGGAGTGGAATTCAAATGGAGAAGCTGATGCAGCATGGCCTGAGCAGAACAGGCATTCCTCCWCTAGAGCAGCAACCCACATTTCAGAGTTCAGTACACTCACTCRATGCACAGCAATTCAGAATGAATTATCTTTTCAGCTGCAAGATGCTCCCATCCACTCTGAATTTCACTACAATAAAAAAGCTCCTGACATCCTAGCAAAGGTGTAACCACATTATGAGGTCTCTTACTGTCACTTCCAGAGAACTCACCTCTACAAATATTCTCCTGGATAGATGCAACATTTAGTTTATCTTCCACTTCAGTGTATCTGAACCATTTAAGATGCCAGTAAATGAAGTGTTATTCTAACTTTCACAGGTTTAGCTGGACATTGAAAATGTTAAAAACCAAAACATGTGGCCAGTTAACTAAATAACTGCTTCATAGATAAAAAGTATTACATAGTCAATTGGCTAAGCTGAACTAATCAAACCCTGATAATGTAATTACATCCAAGACATTCCTTCACTCTTAAAGCAGTTGCCAACAGTAAGGAGAATTTCAGAATTATTTACTGATAACATGAAAGTTTACATTGCTCTGACATTTAAAACTGGACTTTCAGTAACTCCAASCTATGCTGCAGCTGAATGCATCACATTCATTGGGGAGAAGAGCCCACAATGAGAGGCACAGAACAGCTCAGCTCACTGACAGCCAAAGACTRAAGAGCAGCTGCATTTATTCTAAGCTAAGGAAAAAAGCATGAAAGAAGAGGTGAAAGTCAGGCTTTTGGTGGAACAAAAAGAGCTGATGGACAGAGTGCATACTAGGACAGGCTTTGCCAGCAGGGGCTTTAACTTTTCATAATTGAAAAAACCCAAMCCAGACCAAGAAACCACAAAGCTCGACAACTGCTTCATGTGMCAGTGCCAGAGTCCAAGTGGCCTGTGGATGATCAAACTTCAGCTTTCTTTATGTGACATTCTTTCTCTCAGGAGAGAAATYAGACTCCACAGTAGCTTTACCACCCTGCTGGCTGATTTACAATTTGGCATTTGTGGTTGGCAGTGGTTGGCATTTGTTTCAAAGAAAGCTATTTGTCACTTCTTTTGTCCACAGCAAAGAGCTCTCAGTGTAACACAGCAACCCTCAAAATCCATTTTGTCAGCTAATTTGCTCAACCTGAAATCTACTCATGCCACCAGCCTGAAAACCCTTCTGTAGACACTGCAGATTTGCCAGATAAGCCCTGTCAAAACTCACTTAGTAATATGGGAAGTTACTGCCACAGACTCTTGCCAAAGCTCCACTTGGCCAAAACCGCTGGCTGACATTACATGTGAAAAATCATATTAGAAAATTGCCAGAAGGTCATTTATGCCACCGCCCAGCTGCTCACACACAAACCCCAGCATTTCATCTTATGTCATCAAGGAAGCCGGAACTTTGGGTAATTTATGCCATTTCAAATCTTTTAAAAGAGCAGTACTTACTGTTTGCAGATTGGATTGCACTTACACTCCCAGCCAAACCATGTGCTGGGCACACCTGAGACCTTTCATATTAATCCAGGAACAGGTTGAAGCAGCARTTCTTGAAAGGGAATACAGGACCCCATGAAGGGAATGAAGTTTTCCTGCATATCATCTTGCTCAATGATTTGTAAGTTACCYCAATTGCTCACAGACCATGAGCTGCATGATGTGTAGGACAGAGGAATATTAAAATGTGAAGTGACAGCTGCAATAAATTTTGAAGTGTTTGGTCYTTGTTGCAGGAAAAGTGCTAAAATGGGCTAAAGTATAAAGTATACATTCCATGAATGTTTCAAATAGGAATGAGAGTAAATGTGAAGACGTCTTCACAGACTGCTTGATGGTGTCCACTGTAATCACCAGTGTGTTAGTTCAGCCTGAGACACCCTCAGGATAAAAACTGAACAGAGTATAAAATCTATTAAAGGCCCACTAATGTTACAGGTAATTGAAAGTTCTTTCAGTTGAGCTCTAATAAAAACCAGGTATTTTTTATTACAGTGTTTTCCATTTTCATTTATGCTGCTTTTTAATTACAGGTGTGAGCAGAGCTCCAAATGCAGTGATCACAATTTGCATTTCAGATCTATAAAACATTGCTGTCCTTGGCCCACACTGCACAGCAGGGTCACCCCTCAATGTGGCAGCAATGCCACTGGCAGCAGAGAAGCTGCTAGGTTTGCTCTGCAGATAGGGGAGAAATCTCTGGASGCTGCAATACAAATATGTGGAAACCCCTTTCTGAGCTGTCTTCTGTATTACTTTCACATCCTGTTCTAATCCCATATACCTAAAAAGCAAGTATGCTAACTGAATAGGTGGCTAAGATATATATACCCATTTTATCTTCCTTTCTAGTCTTAATTAATCATCTTCTACCAGAGAAAACAACCAAAACCCAACAACCCCTCTCAGTGGAAATCACATGCATAAATCTTGCACAGTTCAAAGTTATAGTTCCCCAAGCAGCAATATTGTGACCACACTGTTCATATATGCCAAGGTGTTAACAGCATACACAGCAATGCAAAACACTACCGATGTGGAACACAGCCAAGCTACAGCTATGCAGGACCCATAATTTTCCATATCCTGCCTACTGACTGTAAAAYAAGATTATTCTGTTCCATCTGGATTATTCTCTTCCAGCTCTGAATCACAGCAATTACAGCAGTCTGTACCACCTCCATGCTTAGGGGGGAGCATCATCATCACTTTTTTTTCTACGGAAAAGGCAAACAACTAACACTTCTCAAACTTGGTCTCTGCATCTACTTTCCAGTACATCCATAGCAATTTTCAAGTTGTCAGACTACAATTCCAAAATCAGTGAGGACCTCGCAGAACTGCAGCAGGCTGAACACAGATATTTTGCAAAAATCTTACCAATTTACATATTTGACATGACGGTTCCCTTTCTTTGTGAGCTTTTCCAAGAAGCTCTACATAGCTTCCTTCTCTTACATGCATTCCTGACTCAYATCTTTGGTTGTTTTCTGCTCACTATCCAGCACTATACTCCTCACTTARCTCTAGAGCAGGGATTTCTTTCTTCAATACCATTTGTTGATGTTGCTTATTCCCATTCAGGACTTTGCCACTGCTGTTCTAAGTACCTGTTTATGGTCTGAGATGGTCAGGGCCCTCAGCAGTTCCTCAGTGAGTTCCTATGATCTTTCTCTGAGCTGCACAAATCTAGAACAAGGTGCTCATGATTCCCATACAGACRAAGATCAATAGACAGAAATGTTCCATGYTTAATTTTTTTAAAGATAAAGTGTMATTATTAAAAATYGATTTTGTGTTAAACTTCTTATTTACATAGGCCCAGTGAGAAACTCTGGGTGGAGCTGACAAGAAGATTGAGAACATGAAGCTGAGGGAAGAACATTCTTAACCTGAGCATTACYTGAGACCAGGTGAAGTGCATTCAAGCCAACAATGCCATGTGCAGTTTCAGCTTTGCAGTACAGAATCAGTTCTACTGCTCTAACACTACCACRTATCATTGTGGATTATCACAGCTCCCACTAACCCACCATCCATCTCCTTAGATCCTCACATGATTTCTTCATGCCACTCTGCAACAGAAACTCACAGAGC